TATGCTCATTGCAGCTAAGGATAAAGTAGGGATCAGAAATGTGAAATCTCAACTTAGTAATGAGTTTAAGATGAAGGATTTGGGTAAAAAAAAGAAGATTCTTAGTATGAAAATCTTGAGGGATAGCAAGATTGGCAAATTATATTTGAGTCAGAAGGGGTACATTGAGAAGATACTTCAAAGGTTCATTATGTTGAATGCTAAGGCTGTCAGTGCTTTCTTTGCTGCCCACTTCAAATTATCATCTGGATTGTGTCCTCAATCAAATGAAGACATTGATTATATATCTCGGGTTCTTTATTCAAATGCAGTTGGTTTTTAATATATACTATGGTTTGTACAAGACCAGATTTGGCACATGCAGTCAGTGTAGTTAGTAGGTATATTAACAAATCCTTGCAAAAAACATTGGAAAGTAGTGTAATGGATATTCAAATACTTGAAGGGCTTAACTAATGCTTGTTTGTATTTTAGTAGAAATACAACTGGAGTCATTGGGCATGTGGATTCAGATTATGCATGGGATCTTGATAAAATAAGATCACTTAAGGGTATATGTTTACCCTTGGAGGTTGTGTTATCAGCTGGAAAACTAGTTTACAAAATACAGTAGCTTTATCTACAACAGAGATAGAATACATGGCCATTACAGAGGCATGTAAATAAACTACTTGGTTGAGATGATTAATTAGTGAAATCAATGAAGACTTACAAATTTCTACAGTATAATATGATAGTCAAGTGCTATTTTTCTAACTAAGGATCAGATGTTTAATGAGAAGACTAAGCACATTGATGTGAGTACCATTTTGTGCATGAAATAATTGCTCGTGGTAATATTGTAGTGAGCAAAATTGATATCAAGGATAATCCTGCTCATATGATGACAAAACCACTTTTCATTACTAAGTTTGAGCATTGCTTGAACTTGTTGATGTTTATCATTAATTCAGTCCATTGGGGTTTGTTTGGAAGAGGTGGAGTAGTGTTTACTTTGGAGTTCGTTGTATTGGAATTTACCTCAAGGTAGAGACTTATTGTAGAATAACCCAAATTCTAGTGGGTATTGGAGTTGTATTTCAAGTGGTCTTGGAGAGATCAAAATTATGGATCGGGAAGAAAATTGTCACATTTTAGCTAGCTCTTCGCTAGCCAGACGCTTGAGCAGCACCATCAAAATTTTCAACAGAATGTTTTTACTTGCATGTAGCCTCATTTTCGCTCGAGCAACATACTGTTGCTCGCTTGTTGTTGGATGTTACTAAAACAATAGTGTTTCCCGGGTTTTTTCATTTTAATGCATTTTGGACTCATATATATATAATTTACATCTTGAGAGCTTTAGATCTTAGTTGAGAGTATTGAGATCTTGTAAATATAATTGTTATTGATTATAGTGGATTTCTTTTCCTTTGCCTATGGTTTTTTCCGTTTTGAGTTTCCACATAAATCTTTGTGTTTTTGTTTGGTTTTACTTTATTTCATTATTGTCATAATCTTACGGACAAATTCACAACATCATTTGATTGGTACAAAGGTTGGTGGAACAATTTTTGATGTTGAAGGGCATATGCATGTTGCAGCTGCCCTTCTTGAATATGCAAACGCTAATGGACTCATTGTGTTATTACATGCTTCTATTCATAGAATCATGTTCATAACCAAAGGTGAGTAATAAATAAATCTCGCATGTTTAATACATAGTATTGAATACGATTAGATAGTGTATTTTAGTAATGCCATTTCCACCGCGTTAGTGTTCATTCTCGATTGATTGGTACAAAGGTTGGTGGAACAGTTTTTGATGTTGAAGAGCATAGGCATGCTGCAGCTGACCTTCTTGAATATGCAAACCCTAATGGACTCATTGTGTTATTACATGGTTCTGTACATAGAATCATGTTCATAACCAAAGGTGAGTAATAAATACATCTCGCATGTTTAATACACTGAGTGTATTTTAGCAATGCCGTTTCCACCGCATTAGTGTTCACTCTCGATTGATTGAAGTTCGTGTGCACCTGCATATAGTCAAGGGTTTCCATTACTCACGAGCTTGATAGGGAAATTTATTAAAGAATCATTTAGTTAAGAAGTATGTAAGTACTATATACTTGAACCAATCATGCTAATTATATATATTGATAGCTTCTTTGACAAATGTTGAAGTGGCATGCACCTAAACCTCGGTCAAAGAATCTATAAAAATTTTTTTGTACAAATAGCTTAATTCTTACTTGAATATATTGCTAATGATTGGTCCAACTACACAGGAAAAGAGAGGCCAACAGCTCATGGGGTGGTCTTTAGAGATCCATCAGGAACTAAGCACAGAGCATATTTGAAGAATGGGCCAAAGAATGAGATTATAGTGTCATCTGTGGCGCTTAGAAGCCCACAACTTCTAATGTTGAGTGGTATAGGCCCAAAAGAGAACCTCAAGGCCCATAATATTACAGCAGTTTCGGACCTCTCTTTGGTAGGCCAAGGAATGTCAAATAACCCAATGAATGCAATATTTGTTCCATCTCCAAATCCTGTTGAGGTATCCCTCATTGAGGTAGTTGGGACTTCAAAATATGGAAGCTCTATCAAAGCTACTTACCGAGCAAATTTTAATGTTGGCTCTCATCAGAGAGACTTCGGGATGTTCTCCCCCAGGGTAATCCACTTCCTTCGTTGTATCATCATTTGTTAAAACGCTTTTCCTTTCTTATTGATTGACAATGATATCGCACTCAAACACTTCATTAGTACCAAGGACTTTTGATCTTTTAGGTGTTTCTTGTACAATGTTAGGCCCAACTCTATAGACATAGTCATTATTGGGCCTAGCCCTAGCCAGACCCATAAACTTAGATGTCTTGGTTTTATTGAGACTAATTAGCATCCGATTAAGCCAATTTACGAGTAGTTTATAAATTCTATCAAAATCAAATATTAACTTCAATCTAACATTCATTACTACTACAAATCATTATCTATACATTTCGTGAGATCCACTATTATTTCTCTTTATAAATTGGTCAAATGGAGATGTTGTAATTATTTAGTCCATATTGGCTGGTTCAACAACATAAAAAAACAATATAGTTATATCAATGTCTCACACTCATGATCATACGTTTGGTATGGTAAACTAGAGAATGAGCAGTCCGGCTGTGGAGTCCTTGGGCCTGTGATGAGTATATGTCTGGACTATGCCACTAGATTGTACTGCCACCGTAGTAAGGGATCAATATTGGTAGCTTAGTCAGTCTAATCCAACATATCAAACATCTGTTTAAATGTATACTAGAATTCATTTGGAACTTCTATTGATTCTCCTTTCAAGTATTTGACAAAAACTTGACCATGTGCATATGTATGTATATGAAAATCTAATTCTTTGTCCGTACTTTGCAGATTGGGCAATTATCAACAGTTCCACCAAGGCAAAGAACTCCAGAAGCTCTAGCCAAAGCCATTGATGCCATGGAACAACTTGAGCCAGCAGCATTTAGAGGTGGATTCATCCTAGAAAAAAATCATGGGCCCAATCCCCACGGGCAATTTACTCCTCAGAAACAAGAACCCTAATGAAAATCCATCAGTCACATTCAAATACTTCAAAAAACCACAAGATTTACAAAGATGCGTTGATGGGCTCAAAATAATTGAAAATGTGATTGAATCAAAGGCACTTTCTCAGTTCACATATGATTATCTTTCACTGCCACTTCTTCTTAACATGTTAGCCAATGCAACTGTAAATTTGCTGCCTAAACATGCCAACGTTTCAACTTCATTGGAGCAATTTTGTAAGGATACTGTGATGACTATAGGCATTATCATGGAGGGTGTCAATCTGGGAGAGTGGTTAATACAGATTATAGGGTTCTTGGAGTGGATGCTTTGAGGGTTATTAATGGATCCACCTTTAACCCTGGGAGAGTAATACAGATTATAGGGTTCTTGGAGTGGATGCTTTGAGGGTTATTAATGGATCCACCTTTAATTACTCTCCTGGAGCAAATCTTCAAGCCGCTGTTGTGATGCTTGGAAGGTAATGTTAACACATATATTGCTGCTTGGTACGTAATACTAATGACAATGGATAAGATTTTAACTTTGATTTCTTCCTTAATCTTAATCGGGATTGCCTACCATACAGCAATGCACAAACTGTACACAATAATATACAAGATTTTAACTTCCTTTTTCTTTTTCAATCCCATTGAATACACTTCCATGAAACAACCTAATAGGGTATTCTAGACACATTTTAACATATTTTTCTTCTTTAATCACTTCTGGTATTACTTAGTCGACCGTGCCATTAATCCTATATATTTTGTGTTGCAGGTATACTGAAGGAGAGGCTTGAAATCCAATAAAGAATCTGATAGTTTTATTATATTTTAAGGTGAAACAACATTTTCATGAAGTAAACTGTCAACAAATTGGTTGTAAAGCAACAAACTTGCTGGAGTGACAGATATTTTGGCCAGAATTTCGGTGACAGGCCCATGTGGCGCCCTTCCAATAGGGCGCATGATGGCGAATTGGGGGGACGCCATATGGGCCTGTTACCAAAATTCTGTCCAAATTATCTGTTTGAGTAGTTTTATTGGTAAAGCAATTTGTACAAATTATTGGACTAATTACAAAGGTATTTTTTTTATTAATTTTATTTGTTTTTAGGATTTTCTCAATTTCTTTTGGCCGCTAAAAAGTCTTCTGATGAAAGTTAATTAGAAAATGGTTATTGCGTATTAATAGATTATCAGAACAAATACTGTCAATAAAGTTGAGACGGCCGAGTTGGTCTAAGGCGCCAGATTAAGGTTCTGGTCCGAAAGGGCGTGGGTTCAAATCCCACTCTCAACAATTTATCTCATTTTGTCCCTTTTTTCCTTTAGTTCACTCTAGCATGTTTGGCTCTCCTAAGAAAATGATTTTACTTATAATTAAATAAGTTCTAAAATTATTTTTTTATTCCTCCCTAAGTAAAAAATAAGTAACTTGAACACCTCAATCGATTTACCATACACTTCGTCAAATGTTTAAAGAAAACTTTACTTATCCGAACGTTACATTCCATTAGCTTACTGACATGAAGGAAAATTGCACGATTAGTCCTTGATCTATCAACACATTTGCAATGTGGTCCCCAAAGCTTAAATACAGCACAACTTTCTCTATCTCTTGCGCTTGGACTTCAAAGATGTAGCAGTCTGTGAATTGCTGTGCCAATTCCTCTTCCTTTGGTTTATGAACCAATTGTTTATTTGCTTTAGCTGCAACCCTGTTAGCTCTACAAGTTTTGCCTTGTCATCTTCCTGCAATGTCATAGAATTTAATGCCTTTTTTCGAGAAATACGAGACATTTTAGAGCACGTTTGATTGGTGCAGAATAAAAAGAAGTAAAACTTAAATATTTACTTACCAAGTAGGAGTGTCATGGAGTTAAGTTAGTATCGACGTACTTTTTTAGAGTACTTACCAATGAAATGACGAGAATTTGTGACAAATTTTATAGTTTAATTTTCATCCTTAATTTTGTCTAATTCTATCCAATTCAATGTGTTGAGCTGGTCGAAAAAGAAGGGACTTACAGTTGGATAAGGCCACTTTGAGTGTTGCTGCCACCAATCCTTAAGCACTGTAGTTGTGTCACCTGGTAACTTTCCTGCCCTTCTTTTTCTTAATATTTCTTCTCTCACATCTTCGATTTTCGACTTAAATCCCTGCAAAGGCACATTTGATAACGGTTTCAGCTTTTTAGACGAGGAGATTCAATTGTGAATAAAATTTTGTATTAAAATTTTAGAAGAAATTCACCTGTTTAAGTTCAATTTTGAGTTCTTGTCTAACTCTTTCCATAAGAGACCTCTCTGATTCTGTTGGAATCAGTGGTCCAAATCCCATCAGATCATGTCCATCACTTCCCGATTGATCTAATGAGAAATCCATCTGCAGTTCATCCTCATCGTCCGACATAGTTGCACTGGTTCCTTCACCTAGTGTTGCTCCTGTACATTACTCGACAATATTAAAAAAAAAAAAATTATAATCATATTAAATATTATGCACTAAATATGTCCTTTGCATCTCTATAAGTTCATTCGGTTCTAGACTTTTTAATCTACAGCTAGTTTAATGTATTACACCATGAAAATCCATTAGTTCTTAAATGTTTAAAAATAAAATACACTCTAATCTTGAAATCAAATATTTGAAGGCAAATGACTAGAATAAAACCATAATGTGATCGTATACCAAAGTACGTGTAGATTATCTCCTTCGAGATTTCAAATCGGTGAAAGTCACCAATATAAGCCTTTTCTATTATTACTTTATAACGTACTTATTCAACTTCAATCAAGAAAGGCATAAGAGTCCTTAGATATTGCTTAGAACGAATTATGTAAAGACTGATTATCTTATGATAGACAATTATCCTTGTTGTACACTTTCTATGTATCCTTCTCTAGTATTGACTTATGAATTGGAAATTAGAGGAACGAATTTGCTACTTATTCTTGCTTGTTCAATGAGCATTCATTATTAGGTTGTTAGTAATTTAATATTGTATTGGTTTGTTGCCACTTATTTTTTCTCTCCCAATTCCCAAATATAAACCACTCTTTCCAGTGGGGCCCACAAGCTTCCTAGAGCTGCAAATTATTTTCTTATCCTCCTACCTACCAATAGAATTACCAAATTATCCCAACCCTATTGGAGCGCACATAAATTACCAAATATTTTATCTAGATCAAGTCTTGATGAATCATTTCATATAATTTTAGCTATTAAAAAAAAAAAAAAAAAAGAGTACATCACTAAAATTATCCTATTATACAATAATATCATTTAAGATATTAAACTAATTGATAACTACATTTTCTTTTTTGTAGGGCTTCACCAATGAGGAGAACCCTTTCAGAGATTCTCGACCGTCAGGACGAACCCAGGCCGAAGTTAGGATTTGGAAATAGTTTTCAACTAGCGACGGACGTGCCTTGATTAGAAAATCACTAACTATGTCATTGCCCTCGAGCGCAAAGATATTTCGAAATATATATTTATAATCATTAGAGAAATTATATAAATACCTGTCAAAGTTTGTAAATTGTGCTCAATTTCACGGCAGGCCATGACAGCCTCAACAGCATGGACTCTAACATGTTGCTGCAGATCTTCTCTAAATGAACACAATACTAACAAGTACTGTGTCTGATTCAGACATAGATATACACAGCATTAAATTCATACATTAATTTAACATAGATCTAAACAAAACTCCATGATTAGGACATAAATTAAAAATGAAATTGTAACCCTAAAATCATAATTTCATAAAATATTTTTTTCTTAAAACAAGTGTCATGTTTCTTGGTACGATCTAGACCATGATTAGAACCAGAACAATTCAAAAAAATTAAAATAAAAAATTTGAAGAAAACCCTACCAAGAAATTGTCAAGTTCTTGCCTTTGATGTAGAGATAGAGACTGAGAAACATTATAATGAGCATAAGACCTCAGGAGATTCTGAGACTCAGAGAGTTGAGAATCAATAAGTGGCAGTTGATCAATCGGTGTCGCCACCCGTAAACACGCTACATGGGCGGAGAGCAGCTGCTCGTACAGCGGATGGGTGACGATCTCCGCCTTGAGCTGGTGGTTCTGCTCTCCGGAGCCACCACCACCAGAACCCATGATGTTTGTGCCTTGTTCTTGCATATTATTATAAATTTTTTTTTCTTAGCACCCAAACAAACTGCTTTAACTATTCACCTTTTGCTTTAAACAATAGTACAGTAAGGTTCAATATATATATGTAGAGATAGAGATTACATATTGGGATCTGAAAGACACAACTTTCTGTGTATAGGTTGCAGAATTACAGAGATTAACGTTCAATTTTTTTTTTTTTTTTTTTTTTTTTTTTTTTTTTTTTTTTTTTTTTTTTTTTTTTTTTTTTTTTTTTTTTTTTTTTTTTTTTTTTTTTTTTTTTTTTTTTTTTTTTTTATGGGGGGGGTTGTGAATTTATTGGATTTTGCTACTTATATATAAAAATGTATATACTGAATTACATAATATGATATGGAAGAAAAAAGATTGAATGAAAATTGTGTTTTAAATTAAGAAACGATAGTGTCATGTGGTATTATATAATTCATTATATAAATCTTGACATACATATAGTGAGATCCGTGATTAATTGATTATTAAACATTTTAAATAAATCCCAATAAACCATAGTTTTGGCCTTGAATTAAGTTACTTGTACATCACTTTCATACATAATGGATGACATTCAATGATTTGTGAAAATTGAAGCCACTGATCGTGTTAAGTAAAATCAATAGCAAAATTGTGTACCACATCATGGAGTACAAACACAACCGCCGACCATGATATAAATGTAGCAAAAATAATTTAACGTTTGGGTAGGATTAGATGACATATTATTAAGAAAAAATAAACTTCATTTAGTTGTTTTCAATAAATGGTGAGTACATAGTTTGATTTGTACCTTGCCTTCTTGAGAATTATTCTTTATGATTCGAATTTATTAATTAATTGACGTGTATATATATATAGCACACGAAGTTGCACGTCGCAAGACTGAACTCTGAGATGGCTCTGATACTTAAGAAAGTCGAGAAGCTTCTCATACTTATCACTTTGAAAATCAAGTTTATATTTGTAGAAGGAAAATAGAGTGTGAAAATATATACAAAAGTAAGCAAAAATTTGGAATTACCAAGGAAACGGGTTGGCTATTTTGAAGTGTCTTCTAAGGTTGATGTGCTCTGTAGGTTTTTAATTTGTTTTTGGACTAAGAAATTCAAGAAATACCCTTAGCGAAATGGATATTTTATGGAGATCTATTCTAGAAAACTGTCAAGAAAAGTGAAACAGGTTGACCTTTATCCTGAGAACACAAGGGCTCGATCTACGCTTAAGACCAATTACCTTGAAGACCTCGACAACTTTGGAAGCTGTAAGGCAAGCATTGGACAAGTCAAGATCGAGTGATGGTCAGATTTAGTGATCGCTTTGATTGGTACTCCTCCAACTAGGGTTTGTTATCACTACCTAATGATTTTTATTATACTGAATAATTCCATTTGCACACTTAAAAATGTACCGAATTGTTTACTCCCTCTCACATGCACGCGGAATCTATGTGAATAAAAATATACCAAAATGTGGTTACCACTTCCTATTATGAGTAGTCGGCAAGAGATTAGGTTAAAAAATTTGGTACACGTACATCAATTCTATTTGTTATCACTATCTAATGATTTTTATTATACTGAATAATTCTATTTGCACGTTTAAAGGTGTACCGAATTGTTTACTCCCTCTCACATGCACGCGAGATCCGCATGAATAAAAGTATCCCAAAATGTGATCCTCCACCCCCTATAGTGAGCAGTCAGTAACGAATTGAGTAAAAAAAACTCAGTACATGTAGATCATTTCCATTATACTTCTCAAACAAACACATAATGGTCAATTGATTGAAATGAAGAAAAAGAATCCTCTATAAACAATTTCAAATTCTTTTTGAGTGTATAATTTTTTCGTATATATAATTTGTAGTTAAAATTCAATTATTACAAGCATATTTCCCCTTGTCTAAGCTTTTTTTTTTGTTTAAGAAAATTGGTAGGCGTTAAGCTGTCACTATTATGCTTCCTGGCTACAGATGTACCTTTGTTTTCTTTTCAGTTTTAGCCTTTTTTTCTAAGTCTCACCAAAACAAGGAGAATTAGCACTGTGTTTGTTAGTCAACCAATGACTACCTACTGGCTACCATATACATATATGATTATTGTTAAGATTAATGCGCATTTTTGTGATGGGTTATGCTTAAAATAAGCAATAAACACGTTTAATTTGGGCCCACGCACATTCAGAATAAGTTAAAGGGAAAATTATCTAGAACCCTACAATTAAAGATTAATTTTCATAAACAAGGTGGTTGAGTTTCAAATTCAGATTTTAGGTGGTAAATAGGATTTTTAATTGTCATTATTAAAAATTTAATTATATCTAACAACTTTATTTCCGAACCCGATCATTTTTCCGATCCTTTCTCTCTCTCACGATCTCTTCTCTCTCTATATATCATCTCCTTTTTCTACATCACAGATCACCACCTGAGATACCATCACCACCGTCGACATCACTCACAATATCGCCAATGCCATTGCCAGTGACATCAACCAATCCATCAGATCTAGCTATGAAACGACCAATCCATTCAATGACAATACCTCACTCCTATACTCTTCATCTTCTCTCTCTTTACCACCTAATCTACACGCTCCCACCCACCACTTTTGTAACATCTCTCGGCGTTGCTACTGTTGCAAGCAGAAGCGCCTCGCTTCACCTCCGCAACAAAAATGAGAGACTGAATAATGTTCCATCTTGCTTTGCACCTTGCTTCGTCGCCCTGAATTTCCAACCAGCCCCTTTTGCCTAGTACAAGTACTAGCTTAAAAATGGAAAAAATAAGATCTAGTTACATATTTATCAACATTGGCAATTTGGTTCCTTTGGTTTCAAATCGTGTTCTCAGGAATCATGGTAATGAACCTAACTATAGTGGACTTTCACTTCTCGCTGTTCTAACTATGATTTTGATGTATAAGAAGAGTTATACATTTATAGGATTTTTATTAGATTTGTTGTTTAGCAAGAGTTTTGGGGTGGTGGTTGTGTTTTGTAAATGGTGCCTGTGATTTTCTGATCTGTGGTTTGAATCTGTTATTGTTGCTGATGGTATATGCAGTGATGGTTCTTGTTACGCTCCCTATCTGAACCACTTCGAAAAGTCTTCCACTATGTCAGACGAGGTGTCCAACATCTATCTGAAGTGACTCCATCACCAATGTTAGCGAGCTGCTAATACACTGCGAGGCACGAACAATTGTACTGAACCAACCGAAGCGTTCTTGGCTCTAACCCTCGAAGTACAATGCACTCCGACGACCTTTGTCAAAGGATCTGCTGTCGATTTCAAAAAGAGACCTGTGTCAAGATCATCTCTTCCCCTAAAGTTTAATTGATTTGACGTCTCCATGGGCCTAGTTGATGTGACGTATCAACTTTATGTCAACTCAACTCGGGAGAAGTTATTACCCGATTACTTTGTAGACGCGGCTGATTGACGCCTATGAGTAGACGCCTCACACCGTCAAATGCATACACGTGTCCCACATCTAACGGTTCTCCTCAACTATAAATACCCAAAGTTTAACAAGAGACAAAATTAATGAAACTCTTACAACTTAGCTCTTCATAACAAGTAAATATATATTCTCCTCCCCACCCTTTTTCCACAACTTTGGCACTGTTCTGATCACCAGAAGCTAATTTGACCGTTGGAGTGTATGCGACCGTCGCCATCCCCATTAGTTCCGACCGTGTGCATCTGACCATTTGTTGACTGTGCGCAGGTAGGATTATGTGGAGCAACTATCGGTTGGCCACGTGGAAGGTCCAATTTGCGAGGTCAACAGATTGGCGCCGTCTATGAGAATACTTCCCATCTAAAGTTTTACATTCTCCACCGGAAAAGCCGTCAGAAAACCCTTGACTTACCCTGAAAAGGGGACATTCTTGAAAAAGAACAAAGCTAATTGCAGCCTAGATCCTCATCACCCTTAAAAAAGATGTAGATAAGATGAGTTCCAGTAATGAGGACGCATACCCCGCCATGGATGCCTCTGAAGAAGAGGTGCTCCGAAACAATGTCACTCACTAAAGACCCCATCACCGGCGTCGCCGAGGTGAAAGAATGGCCATGCTCACTGAAGGAATGGCCCAAATAGCTGCGGGCATGAGAGAGATTGCAACTCAGAATACGGCGATGCATGAATTCTTCATGCGAGCCCAAGGTCACCAGGGCGCCCAAATGCCCCAAGAATCTTACCCAACTCGCGAAGTCCCTGCGTCTCGTTCCCGAGGCCCTATGAGCCAGCACAGAGTAACCCCCCTCGAGAGAGAAGTGGGTACAAAAGTCACATCCTATGTGCAAGGGAGCCAGCTAGCAGAACCGCAATTGGGGGTAACTTTCCACCAGAATATGAGGCACAAAGGTCAGTCAGTGTTTTTGACTGAATAGAGCGGGACCCTAGTAATAGGTTCCGCTCAGTGGAAAGATCAGTTCGAAAAGGGGGAGAGCAAGAACAAGCACCCCTTCCACCTAGAAATAGAAAGGAGAGAAGAAACATAATTGATTGGGATAGCCGAGGAAGAGCACCTCCACTCCCCCAGAACGTGCAAGATGATGGGGACTCCGAAGGGCCGTATCGATCTTACGAGATTGATGATGATGATGATAATCTCCCTTTCTCAAGGAAAATCCAAGGCTCCCCAATGCCCGCAAACTTCGTACCACCTAAAATCCCCAAGTATGAGGAGAAGGGGACCCGGAGAAGCACCTCACGAAGTACATGATACAGATGAGTCTCAGGGAAGCCTTGCCTGCTTTGAAATACAGAGCCTTCCACTTAACCCTGGCCAGAACAGTGAAGTGTGGTACAGCAGACCGCCTCCTCTAAGCATTAGGAGTTGGCCTGAGCTAAAGAATGCCTTCTTGAACCACTACCTCTCACGTAGAGAAGGAGAGGCCCCAGTGCAACGCCTGCAAGATATGAGGCAAGCCCCTGGAGAAACGCTGAAAAGTTACCTCGCTAGGTTCACGGACGAGATCAGCTACTGCGAGCAGGTCATCGACAGGTAAGCCCTTTCAGCCTTGAAAGGCAACCTCAACATGGACACTTTGTTCTGGAGGGATGTGCTCGGCAAGAATCCTACTACTTATAATGAACTGGTGGAGATGATGAGAATTGAGATCATCAGTGAAGAGATGATTGACCACCGAAATCGTACCGGACGAAGACTCCCTTCGCCTCAGAGACAGTAGGTCGAGGACCCACAGCGCACCTTGTCACCCAACAATGAACCCAAGCAGGGCATACAATAGCTCCCACGTCCGGACAGGCACTAGCTTCTGCCATGCTTAATGCAGTACTAGTATTGGCATACGAGAATGCCCCTGCTGAGGCGGGACCATCTAGGGGTATTTATAGTAATCGAAAGAAGAAGAAGAAGCGGTAAAACAGGCCTTTAGAAGGGGCAAGGTTCTGTAACTTCCACCAACTCTAAGGACATGATACCAGCGAATGTAGAGATGGCCCGCGACGCTCAGATCAGAATAACCTACATTCCTCCGGGAGGGACGAACACCCTCGTAGATCCATCTCCCCGAACAGGGGCGAAAGGAGACAGAGAGATCAATCACCTCGACGAAGAGGATCGAGGGACAGAGAAGAGTCCGGACAGAGAAATCAGGCCCCATTTTCTGGAGGCCAAATCATCAGGGAAATTGACACGATCATCGGGGGACCTCACATCGGCGACAACACGAGGAATGCCCAAAAGAACTACATAAGGAAAGCGAAGGATCCGCCGATGCTCACGTACATCGTCAACCAATCCCAATAAGCCAACAAGATGGCCCCAATTACCTTCTCCCAAAGAGATACACAAGGAGTTCACCACCCCCATTGTGACGCATTAGTAATAAGAGTCGTAGTAGCAAGAAACGGACTCAAACGCATGCTTGTCGACAATGGCAGCTAGGTGAACATACTATTTGTCTCTACCTTCGGCAAAATACAAATTGAACATGGGCTGATCCCCATGATCGACTCACTATTTGAATTTACTGGAGACAGCATCATCCCACGAGGACAGATTACTCTGCCCGTCGAGATGTGTTCAGCTCCCCTAGTGGCCCAATATTTCATGGAGTTTTGGTAGTAGACCACAGGTCAGCCTACCATGTAGTATTGGGCAGACCCGCCTTGAAAGATCTTTGGGCTGTCACCTCCATACATTACCTGTGTATGAAGTTCCTAACTGAGCATGGAATTGCTACGGTTCGAGGCGACCAGATGGGCTCCAGAGCATGTTATCTAAAGTCTCTGTGAAAATTAGAGCCCCGCACTGTTAATGTAATCATAACGGAGGTCGCGAGAGAACCCGACCTGGATGTGAAAATGCTCACACCCCTGAAATAGGGCATACCTCCGAACAGGAGGATGATGTTGACATGGAAGAGCTCCCTGAAGAAAGGCATCCTTTTGATGAATTATACCCCCGAATAACTGGCTTAGGACCAAACGCGACACCAATGGAAGAACTTGAAACTTTCTCCGTCAACCCAGAGGACTCCAATCAGGTCCTGCGGATAGGAAAGTCATTGTCCCCCGAAGCGAAGGAACAAATGATTAGCTTCCTGAAAAGGAACATAGATGTCTTCGCTTGGAAACATGAAGATGTGGCAGGGATAGACCCAAGGATCAGTTGCCATCGCCTAAACATCAACGCCTCCTGTGCCCCACATCGGCAGAAAAGTTAGGCCCTCAACCCGGAGAGGTACGAGGCGCTTAAAGATGAAGTCAACAAGCTTAGCCGCAGTGGCTTCATCAGAGAAGCCTTTTATCCGAAATGGATATCCAACCCGGTCCTTGAGAGGAAGCCTAGCGGGAAATGGAGGATGTACGTAGACTTCACGAACTTAAACAAAGCATACCCTAAGGATAGCTTTCCATTGTTGACGATAGACCAACTTGTGGATTCCACTGTTGGGCATGAACTCTTGTGTTTCATGGATGCGTACTCAGGATACAACCAGGTACCCATGTTTTGACTTGATGAGGAGGCCACATCGTTCATCACGGACAGAGGACTATACTGCTACAAAGTCATGCCCTTCGGATTGAAAAATGCTAGAGCTACATATCAGAGGCTGGTCAACATGATGTTTACCAAACTCATTGGCAAAATCATGGAAGTCTACGTTGACGAAATGCTGGTCAAAAGCCTCCAGGCGAATGAACCCGTAAGTCACCTCGAACAAACCTTTCAGATTCTTAGGAAATACAAAATGAAATTGAACCCCCTCAAATGCACCTTTGGTGTGGCTTCGGGTCAGTTTTTGGGGTACATTGTGAACCAAAGGGGAATCGAGGCAAATTCGATAAAGATTGGGGCCTTACTAGAAATGAGGTTGCCTCAGAAGCCTAAGGAGGTCCGGAGCCTCAATGGTCGGATAGCTGCGCTCAGTCGCTTCATCTCCAGAGCTACTGATAAGAGCCTACCTTTCTTCAAAGTGTTGAAGCAAGGGAAGAAGTTCCAATGAACCGATGAGTGCGAGGAAGCCTTCCAAGCGTTGAAGAAGCACTTAGGAGAGGCGCCTCTGTTATCCAAACCTAAACCACAAGAATCACTACTACTATACTTAGCGGTCTCGGGCGTGGTGGTCAGTGCAGTTGTAGTTAGAGAAGAAGACGACCATCAATTGCCGGTATACTATGTCAGCAAAGCACTACTCCTAGTAGAAACCCTTTACCCGGACATGGGAAAACTAGCACTCGCCCTCATCACTGCATCAAGGAAACTTAGGCCATACTTCCAGGCCCACTCAATCGAAGTTCTCACCAACTTCCCATTGAAGCAGGTACTGCAGAGAACGGAGGCTTCGGGCCACCTGCTAAAATGGGCAATTGAGCTCAGTGAGTTCGACCTACTGTTCCAATCCAAACATGCCATCAAGGGACAAGCCCTTGCAAATTTTGTGGTTGAATTTGTCGTAGCGCCAGAAGTGGAGACGACAATGGAACCAGCCGAGCCCCCAACATGGAACTTGTTCGTGGATGGATCCTCAAGAGAAACTAGCTTCGGAGCTGGGATCGTCTTGGAAAACCCGGAAGGCCACAAGCTAAATTGCACAGTAAGGTTCGACTTTAAAGCCTCGAACAACACAGCCAAATATGAGGCTCTTCTAGCAGGTCTTAGACTCCCAAAATAAATGCAGATCAGAGGGCTCCTGGCAAGCAATGACTCTCAACTTGTGATGAGTCAAGTCAACGGGAACTTTGCCACCAAAGACAGTAGCATGACTGCATATTTAAGATTGGTCCTGGACCTATTCCCACATTTCGAGAGGTTCAGATTGATCTATGTCCCACGCATCGAGAACACTCATGCAAACGCTTTGTCAAAATTGGTCAGCAACAAAAACTCAGAGCTGCTAAAGATAGTCCCCATTAAACACTTGTCAAAGCCCTCTATCTCTAAAGTTGAAGAGTTACTATGGATAGAAAGTACCCCAGTATGGATGCAACCCAGCATGGTCTATCTTAAGGATCAATCACTATCAGCTTCAAGAAGCAATGCGAGGAAGTTAAGAAGGAGAGCCGCAAACTTCATCCTACATGAGGATGTCCTCTACAAAAGAGGCTTTGCCTCACCACTTTTTCGATGTGTAGAAGGGAAATAAGCCACATATATACTCAGGGAGATCTACGAGGGGATCTGTGAAAATCACTCCGGGGAAATAGCTCTGGCACACAAAGTGCTCCGACAAGGCTACTTCTAGCCAACCCTCAAAAGGGACACTTGCCAATCCGTTCAAAAATGTGATTAGTGCTAGCGCTTCTCAAATATTTAAAGACAGCATTCTCAAAGCCTCTCCATGGTCACCAGTCTATGGCCATTTGCCAAATGGGGTATCGACTTTATTGGTCCACTTCCAAAAGGAAGATGAAGCGCAACTTTTGCCATTGTCGTCATTGACTACTTCACCAAGTGGGTCGAGGCTGACCTCTTGCCAAGATCATCGAGGCAAATACTACAAAGTTCATCTGGAAGAACATCATTTGCAGGTTCGACATTCCCCACTCCTTAGTGTTCGACTATGGGAAACAGCTCAATAACAAGAAGATACGAGACTTATGCAAGGAATTAGGGATAAAAAAGGATTTCTCGACGCCTCATCACCCCAAGCAAATGGGCAAGTTGAGGCATTGAACAAAACTATCAAGTATACCCTGAAAAGGAAGCTTGACGCCTCGAAGGGAGTGGGGGTTGATGAGCTTCTCCACATTCTCTGGGCCATCCGCACAACTAGCCGAACTGCTACAGGAGAGACACCCTTCTCGATGACCTACAGAGTTGAAGCCATGAGCCCTGTCGAGGTAAGGGTCACATCGCATTGTCGGATACACTTCAATGAGATCGATAACGACGAAACTCGAATGAGCGAACTCCACCTCCTCGAAGAAATGAGGGATACCTCCCAAGTAAAACTGGTTAAGTATCAAAGGAAGATGACCCGCTATTGCAACTCCAAAGTAAAAAATTGAACTCTTCAGCTGGGGGACCTCGTCCTTAGGAGGGTCTTCCAATCGTCAAAGCCAATTGGAGCCGGAGTGTTTGGACCAAATTTGGAGGGTCCTTATCGCATCTGTAAGGAGTCCCGACCTGGTACTTTTGAAATCGAAGATATGACAAGGAGAATACTGTCTCATCAATGGAACATCGAACACTTGAGAAAGTACTATCAATGATGAACATATGTTCTGATCCGATCTCGATGCTGTCTAATATGTGTGTAACGATCCGATTTCATTTGTAACTCCCCTATCTTGCCAAGTGTTGAAATTACCTTAGTGATGGATGATTTAACCTCAAAGTAATGATAGTTCAGCTCTTTATGTCTAATCAGTTAATGAGTTGTTGCCTCGGTTATGTAATATGTTATTGTTCCGATCTCCTTCTATCGACTGGTTATCGGTAAGTGGTGCTTATTGTTTGCTTACGTGTTTGTCATTCATATACTCAAGTATAAACAGCTCAACACAATGAAAAGGCAGAAGCAACAATACTTAAACAAAAATTTTCATTTCATTCATTTGAAACTGAATTACAAAAGAGGCCGAAGCCATTACATGAATAACCCTATTCTACTAGGGCATCATCCGCACCAGCCTCCGCCTCACCTCTCTCCGGGACCTCTTGAGCCTCCTCGACAAACCTTTTAGGCCCACCGAACTCTGCCTCCAAAAGAGGTTATGTCCAGAGCAGGGTGTACCTCTTTTAGCCGATCCAACAGTCCTTGGGCACTCCAAGAAGCCCAGTAATTGGCAAAGTCGTCGTACAAGGGGTGCTCCTCGAAATGGTCGATAAAGCTTTGTACTGCCACCTCCTCTGCTGACTTCATCTCCCCCTTCAGGGAGGCAATCTCCTCAGCCTGGGCCTCTGCCCTCTGCCTCACCTCAGCTTTTTCTTTATTCGAGGCCTCCAGAGCCTCCGTAACGAGCCGGTGGTGCTCATTGGCATGATCCACCCTTCTGGTCATTACAGCTACCTGACACTCCACTTCATAGAGCTCCTTCTTCAGCTACTCAATCTCCCCCTTAGCAGCCGCTAGCTGGGCCTCGACTTCTTTTCTTACTTTCTCTTCCTCCGAGGCCTTGGCCCGGGCCTCCCACACCGCGTCCCCATAATACATCGCCTCCTTAAGGCGCTTGTCGAGGTCCTCCCTCTTAGCATTGAGGTCTTTCACCAAGCCCTCAAGTTGGATGCTTGTGCTTAGGGCCCAGACCACACTGGTATTGTTGGCAGCCATGAGGTCTTCGATGGTACATGTGGTAGTGTGATCTCTCCATTCCTCTGTCCAATACTTGTTGTGGACCACTGCCACTACCGTCGTTTCTAGAAGAAGAGCTCCAGCACCTCTTTCACTGGCTCCTTTGAATTTGTGCCCAAGAAGTCCTCCTCCTTTGAAGGACGGGCTCTTTTCCCCTTCGGCTGCCCGAAAATTGGGCAATTGGAACAGTGTAGTTGTAGCTGGGGTAGGGAAAGCCTCGGAGGGTGCAGGTGTTCTCTTCGGGATGGCCACCCGATAGGTATGGTGGTCTGCTTCAGGACCGGGGGCGGCCTTGCCACTGTTGGGCGCTTCAAAGGGCCAACAAACTTCTTGCCTTTCCGCAGCAAGTTGGCCTCCGGATCCTCCGCCACCTCTTCCTCTGTCGGAGGCTAGAGCCTCTTGCTGGCATCCACCAGATCCTCCATCTGCTTCTTGTATGCAGAGGAGAAGGTCTTCAAGGCTCTAGCCTCAGTCATCATCTTCTGGATCGTCTTGAAGTCAGCCCTCAGAGGCATCTTCTTGTTAAAGTTATCTGCAAAGAGAAAGGAAAATTATTACAAGTGTAAAGGGTCAGGAAAATTACTAGAGTATTCACTTCGGGAATTTTACCTTGAAAAGTCATCAGATCGTGCGTCACGAAGTGAATGTTCTTCTTGATCAGCTGGTGGTATGACCTTTTCTTCGGAGGCAGCTGATAAATGATGTAGATGATATCAAAGTCGTCGGTGGATATCTCACACCAAGAAAGAGTACCTTCAAAAGCAAACAAATATCAGTTAGGATCTGAACCAAAGAAGAATAAACGTAAATGCAAAGCAACCAGTACTCACTAAATGTAGAATATTTCGTGGCGACCGTTAGAGGCGCCAGGGGGTCTCCCTCCATCATGTTCCATCTCCTGGCAGCCCAGCACCACAAGCTCTTCCACTTCTTAATGGAGCTCGACAGATCAAGCATGAATGGAGTATGGGAACCCCATGAGGTCAAGTAATACCAGCCCATGGTCTTATCCTCTCCAACCATTACCTTGGGGATGTAGAAGGTCTGGCAGACAGAAAAGGGCATCTCTACCCCAAGCGACGCCTTCCTCCACAACATCCAGGAGCCCACCATTTGGCTCCAGGAGTTCGGGTTCAACTGGGTCGAAGCTAAACCATAAGACCTAAGCACTAGGTGGAAGAAAGGATGGATCGAAAGCCTAAGGCCAGCCCTAAGAATTGCTTCACTAATTGCCACACACCCTGCCTGGGGTAGCAGGCCCTCTCATCGGGTTCGGGTAGGATCAAATCTACACTGTCTGGAATCCTATACTCCGCCCTAAGTCAATTGAGATCGGCATTTTTCAACTTAGAGAGGTAATCCGACACCCCCAATGCACAGATGTGTCTATTGAGCTATCAAGCATCCTCCAGATATTCTCCCCCCCAATTATTGCTTTGAAAATTTCGAAGGAGGTCGCTAAAGTGGGCTCATCCATTCGTACTAATTCTAGCTCCCTCCCCGAGCTACCACTACCCTCAGAAGCCATTTTTTTCAGAAATGAAAAATGTCAAATACTTACTGAAACTCACGAAATGAGGGTTCCACAATCGAAAATGGTCAGGGCACGCTGTGGAGTCGTCAGAAAATGGAGTTTTCGTTGGAAAATGCTTGAATAATGTCGAAAAATACTTGTAGAACGTCGAAAAATGCAAGAGTTTTGAGAGCAAATGGAGTTTCTGATTTCGCAAAAGTGAAAAACTCCCCAAATGCTCAAGTCTGCCTTTTATAGGACATCCTAGCTTATCTCCACCGTTGAATTCAAATGCAATCAATCTGGGCTGTCAGTCGCATCATCAAACTACGCCGTTGAAATGAAACGCCAGATTTGATCTACGCCCAGGATCCGGTTGTGCCCTTCACGCTCACGTAGAATGCGTCGCCTCGATCACCATCTGCCGTCTACAATAAGTAGCTACAGCAGCCTTTTTAGGGAATGGGTATCGCACGCAACTGTCGCCTTAGAAATATGCGGCAGCTGTCAAATCATTTAACGTCAGAAATGTTTGCCTCAGATCGAGCTGATGAGCCCCTTACTCAGCTTTACAAAGCTTATGCGCCTCGATCACTGCATCCCCTCTTAAGCTTTACAAAGCCTTAGTCATCTCCCAATGCGTCGTCCCATGTGGGTCAGCGCACCAGTGACAGATGGGCTCCTCACAGGTTCACAAAGCTTTGACGCACCTGATGCGATGTCCCTTGTGGGTCATCGCCTCGGTCACTGCATCCCCTCTTAAACTTTACAAAGCCTTAACCATCTCCCAACGAGTCGTCCCATGTGGGTCAGTGCACCTGTGACAGATGGGCTCCTCACAGCTTCACAAAGCTTTGACACACCTGACGCGAAGTCCCATGTGGGTTATCGCCTCGATCCCTGCATCCCCTTTTAAGCTTTACAAAGCCTTACCCATCTCCCAACGCATTGTCCCCTGTGGGTCAACGTACCAAGGATAGTTGAGCTCCTCACAGCTTTACAAAGTTTAGACGCACCTAACGCAAAGTCCCCTGTGGGTCATCGCCTCGGTAGCTGCATCCCCTCTTAAGCTTTACAAAGCTTTAGCCATCTCCCAACGCGTCGTCCCCTGTGGGTCAACGCACCAAGGACGATGAGCTCCTCACAACTTTACAAAGTTTAGGTGCACCTGACGCGAAGTCCCATGTGGGTCATCGTCTCGGTAGCTGCATCCCCTCTTAATGTTTACAAAGCTTTAGCTATTTCCCAACGCGTCGTCCCCTTTGAGTCGGCATATCGGTTATGCATAAGCTCTTTCCTTAGACAGTAATGAAGCTTTGTCCGCAAAAAAATATGT